CGGCCTTTCTCTAAAACGGACTTAAAATAATAAAAAAACTATGTTTTTTTATATGATTCAAAGTAGTCTCAAATGAAAGGTACCGTATCCTACAATGTGTTTAAGAACCTAGCTATTATCACTGTAGTTTTCATGAAAAAAAGGAAATAAGAAAACACGCCTCCATGGAAGTAACACAAGTCCATGGTAATGACATTTTAGATTAATTTTAATGAGGCATTTAGTTTAGAAGGTTTACTGTAGAATAAAACGTATTTTTAACTTAATTATCTTTATTTACGTAAACAGCTAGATATTGATTAAATTTTAAGCTTTTTAAAGTATTAAGTTTGGGGAATTTATCGCTCCCCTAACGAACAATAAAACGGCCTCGTGAACTTTGTGAATGACGATATAATTATAATGTTTCCTGGTTTTTACAAATAGCTTTTTTATCCAACCGGGCAAACAATTTGCAATCGCTGACATGACCATTTACGTAACTAAAAACTGTCAAACATTTACGGCAAGTGTGACACTCTCCTTGGCGACTCTCGTCCAAAGAGACTGCCACAGCCAGCCGGTGATAATAGACGGCGTCTAAAGCCGCCACATAGGTATATTCAATTATGTAAATTCTATATTATTATCGAGTTCTTAGGTTTTCGCGATTGTTACACATATATATGACCGTGACAGTCAACCGTGACCATGGGACCTGTAAAGGGCCCGAAACGTCGGTTTGTTTGAAAAAACAAATATACGCGATTTAAATCCGGAAAAATAGTTTCATTTCCTATTTCTATATTATTAATTTTTTTTTGGAACGCTAACACAGTCTTCTATTCGGTTTTTAATATCAGGTCACATGGGTACCATTATGTCTAATAATAGTTTTTATAATTAATATTATTTACTTAACACTTTACTCGCATCTTTAGAATGAAAGTGGTCAACACAATCTGTTTACTTTTTGGGAAAATGCAAAATAAGTTACGATGTTGTGACATTTTCATATTATCCAATTTTTACTCTTGAAGTACTAAAGGCAATGGCCTTGTTAGTCTATCATGGTCCATAGTAAAATAATGATGAAATATTCAGCTTTATAACATTGAAAACAGTTTAACAATTTAAATAAAATGTAATTTACAAAACACTAACTACTATAAGGTCACTACTTACTGAGCTTTTTTGTTGGCATTTGACCTAATAAAAAAGTAAGCCTTTTTCATTTTCACCAGCTAAGCAAGATGTTATTAAAAAGCCGTTTTAATTATAAAAGAAACTCCTCTACGCATTGACTTTGTAAGGCAATGCCTCTACGTAATAAAGTTAGTCCCAGTACCTACTGAGGGGACGGGACGACAAGGGATTTTTAGGTGACGAATAGTAATGTAATAGTAATGTATGATTATGACTTTATAGTTGCAATTTTAGTGATAATTATCGTAGCTGCAAAATGAAACTGCTATATGCTTAGGCATGCCGAGCCTTCAGCCTCCGGAATGCCTAGGCAACCTCCGGAATGCCTAGGCAACCTCCGGAATGCCTCAGCAGCCTCACGTATACCTCGGTAAACTTAGGGATGCCTCGCCAGTTTTAGGATGCCTCAGCAGCCTTATAGATCCTCGGCAGCCTTATGGAGGCCTCGGCAGAATTATGAATGCCTCGGCAGTCTTAAGGATGCATCGATAGGTTTCAAGACGCACGCTCCGCGTCGCCATTGGTCACCATTAGCTTGACGCCATGCAACTATAGCATTCTATAAACGTCATGCAACGATGTAGCGACGGTATGCTTCAGCATACCTAGAGATGCCCTGGCATGCTTAAGGACACTGTGGCATGTTTAAGGATACCGCGACATAATTGCCGTCAATGTACATGAAGTGCCTAAATATTTAGATACCTTTCTAAGAGACTGCAGTCCATACTAGGAATTAACTTGTGTGACGGATCTCCAGGCTCTCACCCATCCGGATAATTACGATGTTTAGAAAGGCAGCATTACAAAGTAAATATGTCACTTTCAATATTACAGTTTTACAAGATTGAGATTGTAAATAGAAAATTAATGTCAAGTACAACGAAGTGAAATAACATACAAATAAAATATAAGGTAAAAGTAAAATATGAGACGAAATGGAAGTAAGTGTGTGTATGCGTTGTTTGTGTGTGTGTGTGTGTGTGTGTGTGAATCCATTATTTTATTTATGTTGTAATTATTTAGTGTTATTTAGAAAGTTTATTCTATGTATTATCGTAAAATAATATAGATATTTATTGCAGATACATATATTTAATTTTAATAAAAATCATATATATAAACTACCTCGATTAATTTTAAATAAGAAATGACTAAGTAATACAAGTATATCGTATTTTAATACATATGCACAAAAAAATTGCAATTGCCTTATGGCACTCTTTTTCTTTTAAACCTGACGACGACGAGTGCTTATTTGCCGGGAGTAGTAAGGTTTTAACACGCTGTAATTATTAATTGCAAAATGCCGGTACTTTAAACCAACTTTAAACGGTGTAATTGAAAAATGGTGACTCACTGGGCGCCGAGAAGTGCACAGTCGAATTATTTTTACTTGTTGTAGGGTACTCATCTGATTAATGGGTAGAGCATCAGCGCGATCAAAAGATGTCAGCAAGAGATACAACTTTATGTAAATCTTTGTTTTTAATGGCATACAAGCAATTGTGACAAGAAAATTAATGCAAATCATTTTTAAAATGATTTGCATTAAATGATTGTTTCTTCTGACCGAAGTCTGGAACACGTACCTAATTGGAAATGTGTCTATATTGAGGCACTTACGAGGCACTTGTACATGTGTACAAGTGCCTCGTGGTTGAATTTTAAGAGGATTCATTCTTGCACTAAAGTTATGTTTATCTGATAACAATATATTCCAAAGTTGGATGTTACTCAAAAACCGACCATGAGAAAAGTTTACCCGATTTTATAATTGTTTTATGCGACGAGCATTAATGAGTTTCAAATCATGCCATCGTTTTTCGTAAACATTAGTGACGTAGTTATATCGGCAATAGAGGGGGGATAATTTTTATAAGCTCTATTTCCTAAAAAACGCTCTTGGATCTTTCCACCCTCGGGAGCTCCGAGGCTACAGACAGACACACAGTTCTTCACAAGACTTCAAGTTCGGTATCCCAAAGGTCTATACTGTGGACGCTTGGCGAATAGGTCCTGGGTTCGATTCCCGGTAGGAATAAATTGGGAAATGAACTTTTATGAATAAATTGGTTCTGGTCTAGGTGTTCTGAAAATTGATTCGCTGCTCTGGTACTCATACTACCTATATGGAATTTTCTAGTTTGAGACCAGGCCAATTTAGCTTCAAGGGGTTAAAATTTACCGACGACGTGTCGATACGGTTAATCCAGATCATTTTAATCTTTAATTAGTTTCTATCGCAATCAGCTCTACTTCCGATCAATTCCTTCTAGGTTTCAAACAAAGATATCTTTGTTTGAAACCTAGAAGGATATACGAACCTGTAAGATAATTACTTAATATTGCTTCATAAATAAAACAACATCAAATATAATAATTATTTTAATAATTCAATCTCATTCAATTCAAGCGTTCATATATTTTGTCAATGGTTAATAAATGGCCAATGTCATAATTAGCGGTTTGTGCAGCTACCGGTTCTATAAATCATAGCCAAACTATCAATTACGAATAATCTACATCTACAAGACAAGGAATACCACACAGGAAAAAATCAAAATTAATTACATAACCATTACATATTCGCCAGATTAAGTGTAATGATCGTTAGCGAAAACAAAGTAAGTAAACAACGTTACTAAAGAGACTACCGCGTTTGTTAAAATAGCAATCGTAATTAAATTCAATATAGATTTTTAAATAAATTACAAACAAATTAAATTAATTAATTCAGTAACACTTTAAAGGAATCAACACTTATTATAAGCAATTCATTGCAATTAAACACGATTCATCAAAGAGATCTGACGGATTACATTTTAAGGTGTAAAAATACTTATTGTTGGTATTCTTTGTATGCGGAACAATGAACAGTGTTCACATGTGAACAAAGGTTTTTATCGTTTGTAAATAGTACCCTGGTCCACTTAATCGACCAGTTCCACATGTTTCATAGGTCAAACAGGCGTATTAACTTTTTACATTGACAGTTGAAGTGTGCGCCCGAGCCGGAACCTGTCAAGACGGTATCTATAAATTACTCACGTATGTACTAGTTGCGGAATGTTACGTAGATACTAAATCATACTAATCGCGGTACTAATAATAAACGTAGACACTGAACTACTTTAAAACAAAAAAACAAATATTTACCTGGAAACAGTTTACAATGTTATTAGATACATATTTCTCGATCTTTGATCGTAACTTCCATGTTTCTTTATTCTCATATAACCTTACACTTTAATCGAAAGTAATTATATGACGTTGGTATAAAAAAATATTGAGGCTATCGTTATTATAACTAAGTAATGTCGTATAGGTATTACTTTAGTTATTTATTAGATAACGTAACAAACATTGTTTATGTATGCAGTAAGTTAAGGATGCAGTACCTTTACACACACGCGCGACTTTAAGCAGCGATGCAAACGCGTGTATGCATAGATACAAACGCACGATTGCATCGCTACACTTGTGATTTATATGCGATTGTATCGATGCAGTCGCGCGTTTGCATCGATGCAATCGCCTATTTGCCAACTGGCGTAAGGTATTCGCCGATTGTTGCCCAGAGTGCGCCAGATGTACAGGAAAGGAATGGTACGTCATGTGGAGGCTACTTTGGTGCACCTCATTTCAAGCAATCTGAACCTTTTAAAAATTGACCACTTTGCATTCGCATGATCTGATGTTAGCTGATAGTAGACCGATCCGTTACCAGATGTTTGTTTTAGCAGTTTACTGTATCCACTTTCTCGTATATTGCGTTTAAGACGATATTGCTTACACCGGTAACTTCTCCGCAGATGGTGCCATGCATGTTGGTGTCGGGAAAGCCAGTGCAGCCTCATCTTAAAGGCGGCGATGACACACGTGAAGCTGCTGCCTTCAACTACGCTCACAACTTACCAAAGCAACAAGACACTTCCAGCTCCGACCACGAACAAGTCATATCTGTAAGAATAACTTCATCCGTCGCCGTTGGTAGAGGAAAATCCAGACCCAATAAAGTTTTAGAAAATAAATACGGAACCACTGTAAGCGAAACTCCACAGACCTTTGCTGTTACAAAGACACTTGATGTTACAAATGAGGAGAAAGGCACAACAGAACTTCCCAATCTAGCAGGTGCTAATATAGAATTCATCAAACAACTAAATTCCCGTAAGGAAGCAAGAGGTCTCCAAAACTTAGAAGTCATTCCTACGTTTCCATCACATGTTGAAAATAAATACTCCAATGAAAGCCATGATTCCAAAGCAGAGTCTATGACATCAATTCTGGAAATAGATAATAAAAACATTGAAACTCCAGATGACAATATTCCAATGGCACGCTCAGTCCCACTATCACCGTCGTCAAAAAATTACATTCCAGGTCTAACACATAAATCGTTTAGCCAAAGGGGGAACAATCAAAGACTAACAACTGTAAATTTCAACATACTACATGACACCCCCACAATGGATACTAATTTCAATGAACCTGGAGATGCGTATGTAAACCCGACTCAAGCACAACCTAGTACTCAGAAGTTCTATAACGAACCACCTAAGTTCTATAACGAACCAGCTAAAGTGTATAGTCAGCCAGCGCAAGTGTACAGCGAACCTGCCAAATTTTACAGTGAACCGGCTAAAATATACAGCGAACCTTCCAAAATATACAGCGAGCCAGCCAAAATATATAGTGAACCTGCGAAAATTTACAGCGAACCAGCAAAGTTTTACAGTCAACCTGCTTCGTTGCATCTGTCTCCTAACGGCAACTCAGATTACACATCATGGCACCATCCATCTCAAAGACCTTTATTCACAGGCACAGTTGTGAACACCACGCCAGTCACAATGATAACCAATCCTTCAATAGTGCCTACCACACAGCACATTGCAGAGCATCAACCGGAAAAGAATTACGAAATAGACGAGAAAATAAGTGTTCTGACCGATGGGCGTAGCCACGGAGTACAGGAATCCAGTAATGAAAGCTGTAAGCAAGATAATTGTAAAGTTGGTTACGTTGTTGAAGGTCGTCAGTACAGGAAGTACAGAGTGGAAGAAAGAACATCTGATGGTTATATAGTAGGAGAGTACGGCGTTGTAAGAAATGAAGATGGGGCGTTGAGAGGTGTAAGATATACAGCTGACAGCGACGCTAGCCCTCGTCTCATATACGATGCCCTTATGAAGTTCCTACAACTGAAGTAAACTCAAATTTGACTTGTCGATCCTAAACCTATTTGCTCATTTTAATGTTAAGGTACGTAGGATTTCCATTGTTCATAAAGTGGGTTATTTATTAAAGACTGACTGATAATTTCAGTATTGCGTTCAGCAATACATGAAATGCTTTCGCGAAGACGTCAATTTCGATACGCTTCAATAAGTGGACGCCGCAATAACACTCATTTTATTTAATTGTGATATTGATATCGTGCCGCACTTATTTCTTGAAAATCATCGGTCAATTTATTGAAATCGAATAATACTCGTCAACATGTCACTAGTTAATACGAAATGTGAAATATAGTATAATTGAACACTCTTTCGGGTAATTGAAACTTATCTGCAAAGAGTGTGTGCCATTGTAGGCGAAATGTATAAATTGATCCCATACTCGCTAATTAGTTAAGTGTATCAAGTTGTGTAACATTAAATTTAAAGAAATTGAAATTGATGTTTTAATCCATAACAAGAATGCTTTAATTCGTTTAATTGACTGCCTTTCGTTACGAAATGTCTCCGTATTCTTTCACGTATCCATATTTGTTTTTCAAACAAAACTAACGTTTCGTGCTTTTCACAGGTCCCATGGTCACGGCTGATCAAAAAACAAGTGTATCGGATTTAGATCCGAAAAAATTGTTTCATTTCCGATATGTAACAATCCCGAACACTTAACAACTCGATAGGTCTCCGTATATAAAAACGTAGGTTACGAGATACGCTATTATTGACAATTCATCATCTCTGTCAGTTTTAATTCAAGTAACCTGAAGTTATACTCTTGTTTTTCATGATCTTTGAAAGCCGAGTGATAATGTTTAAGAGTCGATACTACCTCAGCTCGAATTCAATTTTTTCCCGTATTAATACGGTTCATTTTGCTCGAGTCGAGTGGCAGGACCAGTGGCTTTATTTCAGTTTTTGTTTTACAAATCAAATTGAAGCCATTTGAAAGATGTATGTCATATACTATACGTGTTGCATTTAGTTAAGTTGATATAAAAAAAAAATCATTTGTATATGTAAAGTACCTGTTCAATGCAGCGGTATTCTTGTAAAATTTCGAGACAAGTTTTTCTGTTTTTTTTTTCTATCGTGACAATTTTTAAGAATTGTATTTTCACACCGTATGCATGGTGTAAATTTGAGACGGGGCAGCAAGGCCAGCTTCCTTAATCGTTGTAGTTACAGGAAAACGCTTCTAGAAGACTATCCATGAATTTTGAAGACACTTTTATATTTTGAATGCCAATTGCATTCACTGATTCTGAAAAAATGGTACAGTCAGCAAGATAAAAGGCAATTTTTACAAAACTTTTTTTTATGCCATTCAATTCGGTCTCTGATAAGGACCAATAGTCTCTATGGGATCAACTGAGGTAAGAGTACTCTAAATGTCAGAAATCGCTAAAAATCTTTTACCACACATTTTAAATCAAAAGTTTTTGTTAGAAACGAAACTGGCCACTACTCTACAAATAACACTTAAGTAAAACTAATTTAGAATCATATCACTATTTTTAAATTTGGAACAGCCTTGTTTTGTTTTGTTAATAGAGAATTGTCACTTTCAAATTTTAAAATATTTTTAATGTAGTTTTTAAACTTAGGAAATGATAAACTTAATATATGCTCCGGAATCTTATTGTAAAAGCATATACAGTTCCCCATAAAAGAGTCGTTTACCTTGGTAAAACGAAATCGTGGTACCATGAGTTTGGACTTAGCTCTAAGGTTAATATTATGGATATCTTCCTTCTTATTGAAATTATGTATATTTTTACAGGCATATAAAATATTTGAGTAAATGTACTGTGATGCCACAGTCATGATACCAGTCTCCTTAAACTTTTCTCAGAGAGAAACCCGAGAGCCTAGACGGTACACAGAACGAAATGCTCGTTTTTGCAATACAAATATAGTTTGAATATCTGCCGCTTTACTCCACATGAGAATCCCGTAGGACATTATACTATGGAAGTAACTAAAGTAAACTAGTAGTCGATTTTACGTTAGGTAATTCAAATTTAACACATTTTGTTTTCTTGACATTGAGCAATAAATTTTTAGGTTAGCATTAAACCCTTAGAATAATAACGCATAGAATGATAGTTTCATATCAAACGAACTGTCACAAGTGAGGCAAAAACCAAATTCATGTAGGCGTAAGCAACTTGTAACTACGCTCGTCGGCACGCACACAAATATACAAATAATGATGCCATGGAATAACATTTCCCTCAAAAGTGGGGAAATTGTATCTTGCTTAACTCATCATTAAGTTAAAGGTGCCTACAGATTTGCCCGACATTGTCGATCAGGTGCCTACAGATATGCTCGGTTTTGTCGATGAAAAACGAATATAGCACTTATTTGTAAATCCAAGATGGCGGACACGATTTTTCAAAATATGCTATATGGGTATCCTTTTCGAGGTATTTGGGGATGCTCATTACGAATATGGCACTCATTTCTAAATCCAAGATGGCGGACACGAGTTTTGAAATAAATGCAATATGGGTATCATTTTCGAGGTACTTGGGGGTGCTCATTACGAATATGGCACTCATTTCTACATCCAAGATGGCGGGCACGATTTTTCAAAAAAATGCAATATGGGTATCATTTTCGAGGTACTTGGGGGTGCTCATTACGAATATGGCACTCATTCCTAAATCCAAGATGGCGGGCACGATTTTTTCAAAAAAATGCTATGTGGGTATCATTTTCGAGGTATTTGGGGATGCACAATGCGAATATGGCACTATTTGTAAATCCAAGATGGCGGGCACGATTTTTCAAATAATGGCAAGTTGGGTATCGTTTTCGAGGTATTTGGGGGTGCTCATTACGAATATTGCTTTTATTTGAACTGTCGTGTTTGCCATCTTGGATTTAGAAATGAGTCCCATATTTGTATTGAACATTCCCAAACATCTCGAAAACGATACCCAACTTGCCATTATTCGAAAAATCGCGCCCGCCATCTTGGATTTAGAAATAAGTGCCATATTCGAAACCTAAAACCGAAAATGCCATAAGCAAACATTAAAGAAAATAACTGTTAAAATAGATTAAAAAATCGCTTAAGAATGCTCCCCTTTTAAGAAAATAAAATATTTTAATATAAAATATTTCGCTTGAGTTACGAAAAGAAAGACATATATTAAGCTATCAAAGTTGTACTGGTGGTGCCAACACTATAGTAGAAACAAATATATACTGTAAATTTGTTGCAATATGTGCTCCAATTCAAATAAAATTAAAATAAATAATTATTCAATAAAGCATGAACGCAGAGCCGTTAAAAGTATTATAAAATAATTAAGTGTCCCAATCACTTACAGGAGTTAACGAAAACATTTAATGTTTATTCGAGTAAATATTAGTTCAAAATGCGCAAATAAATCGAAATTACAGGCACCACTAAAATTTACGTAATATAATTATTTTGATACAGAATAGCAAAATGGGGAGAAAAAAAATTCGTTACTTTGCAACACTTTCGTATCTTGTTGCCGCGAAATTATTTTTCTGTTTTAGTGAATATTTACATAAAAATATGAGTTGAAACGCATTACTTACTTGTGGAATGCAATGTTAGTGTCTATTTTGTTTGTCTGTTGTATTTTTACACCCATTTACCGCACATTTCGTCATTTTTAGCAAAAAATTTTGGAGCTGTTCGCGGTGCAATATGACCTTGAGCACTAACAGCCCGCGCGCTCCTGGGACGCGTTTGGAACCCTCTAACTTGCCTCACTTAGCGTGTGCGGGCTAGGTTTCTATGCGTTATTATTCTAAGATTAAACCAATAAACTACCTTAGAGAGGGTATCATTAATATGGTCATACTTAATGTCATGTCTGTCTGTTTTAAAAGTCAAGGATGTGTCATCAGCAAACAATACTATTTCGCAATGGTCCTTAACAAAGAATGGCAGATCAATCATATAAGTCAGAAATAAGAAATGTCCAAGTATTGAGCCCTGCAGAACACCCATTTTTACCGGAGAACCCAAGAAGTCACTCCATTTATGTCTACTTTCTGAATTCTACCGTTGAGATATGACGAGACAAGTTCCGACGCCTTGCCATTTACACCGTAATGTTCCAGCTTCCTAATAAGAGTAATATGGTCAACGCAATCAAATGCCTATGAGAGGCCACAGAAAACACCAATAGCGTTCTGGGGTTTTCCCCAAGCATCAAAGATGTGTTTTAGTAGCGCTAACCTATCGCTAAATAGAAACCTATCGCTAAAAAGAATAAAATCTCCCTCACAAAATTGGTTAATTAAATAAAAAAAAAACCATGAAATCTTAATGTATTTTAAGAAAACAAAAAAATGGTAATCTAACTAATCTGTTGCTAGAAATGAGCTCCATTTTCTTGGATACACAAATTTAATCTTTTAACGAATTCATTTTGAGTAACTTTTAATAACGTGTTGTGATGAATTGTATTACAAATCGTATTCCGAGCTCCTCATTTCGAGCAACTAATTAGTTAGATTACCATTTTTTTCGTTTTATTAAAATACGTTAAGATTTCATGGTTCTTTTTTCATTTAATTAACCAATTTTGTGACAGAGATTTTATTCTTATAATTATTCCTATCGATCGTTGCAATAAAAGTGCAGGGTGCATTTTTTTCAGATTAAAGCGGGTTCGACAGCCGCGTGTTGCTAGAAATTTTCGAAAATATATGAATGCAGTTTTATTTCTTTAAAAAAATAAAGGAATGTTTCCTTTAAGCAAAAATTTCTATCTCCAATATTTAGAGCACTTTCCCTCCAGGTGGCATTACAAATTTCCACCCTGTATACTTATTATGAGCGATGCCTAGGTTAGAGCAGTAAGGGAATGCACTTAGTATGAATTTACAACCACACTTCTCACGAATTCTCAACAACACGTCAATGCTACTATTTACTTCTTTTTTACTTATGTTGTTACTATCACCTATTATAAGAATTACTGTGATATATTTATCAAAGTTGCAATCACTTAACAGTGTAATAATTTGACGAAAAGTAGCTCCTGGATAGTAATAAGTGACTACCCTTTGTTTTATCCGCTCACGCGATGCCCTTCTCCTACCACAAAATGGCGACTATTTGGTTTCGTAAATTAGAAAAGCATTCAGTTTAAATACAAGTTTTTATAAATAAAAATTATTATTCTGCATTGCTAAATAAATACCCTCCGTACTACCAACAAAAACATCTCAAATAAAATGCAGTAATACACCGCAAATCCTGCACTTAAAAAGCACTAATTAAATTTTTGGTGTACTTGGATAAATATGATAATATTCCGTTTGAGTGGTTCTAACGTTTACCATGGAATTACTCCTTAAAGTATAGTTTATAAACATTTATTTTCAGGGTAAACTTAAAAAACGCTACTTACGGTATGTTTTTAATAAATAAACACCTAAATCACCAGCCCAAACAATAATAACACACACGATTGTCGTGACG